GTGTGTGTGTGTGTGTGTGTGTGTGTGTGTGTGTGCGCGTGTGCGTGTGTGTGTGTGTGTGTGTGTGTGCCTGGACAAGATAGAGACCTAAAGCACCTCTTGACTGTGAATTAGCCTGTCATGACAAATGTCTGGAACTGCATGACTGGCTGCCAGACTGGCTGGCTATCTGGGAGGTTGGCAAACCCTTTTAGATAGTGATTGTGTGTGTGTGTGTGTGTGTGTTTATGTGTCTGTGTAGCATCACTCTGTGCCCACGCCAGGCCTCTGTACATGGCCAGTGGTGCGTGCCCTCCCACCCTCTTTCTACTTGCCCAGAAAAGAGCAACCAAGGCGACAACCTGCTCAAAAGGAGTTTCCAGAGCGGAGAGGCGTCCTCACCTGACGCCAAGCCCACAGAGGAAGCCTCTGTCTCAGCCTTGCAGTCAACCATTGAGCCTCTCTTGCCTTGGAGGTTCCCAGACGTCAGTGGAGGACACAGTGAACAATTGTTCTTCWTGTCGCCATCTGAAAATGAGAAGTCACCTCTCCTCTGGAGTCTCCGTTTATAAAGCTGGGTTGCTCACTGACCACCAGCTGTTAGTCTTGATCTCCTTGTGTTTTCTGCTTGTGTTTTCATTCTGACTTTGTGTGATAATGTGGCTGATTGAGTTACTGTGCTTTACTAAGTCCTCGTGGCTTTTGGATCTACTGATGCCACATTAAAAACACTGTGTATTGTAGCTATTGCTGTTTTCCAAGTTTGAAACGGCATGCACAAGTACTGCTTCGTCATAGTACCGTGTCCGCTAGGTGGCATATAATCTACTCCAGATCAACCAGTTTTCCTTCCTTTTGGAGGAAAAAAAAGATTTGTACCTTACTATGTTGCTAGAGAACAGTGGCTTTTAATTGGAATGACAAAGCTAGTAGCACTTGATTGACAGGAGCCAGCCCCAACATGTCTGACAAGGAGATGAAGATTTCATATTCTCTAAATTATCAAAGAAAACAAGTTCCTCTTATCCACATCTACACTATTCATTTCTTCAACTTAATCAGTTTTCTGTATGGTAAAGAGAAGTTAAAATCATTTGGCTTTTGTTGAAGTTTTGCATGTTTATTCAATGATTACTTACTGGGACTGTCACTAAAATCTGTTGAGCAGTTTGTGAAATATTTTGCTAAAAGCTTGTTTTGTATCTTGTAGTCCTGCATGTCTTTACCTTTCTTGGATAATTTAAGAATCCTGTTTGAACACTTTCGATTAATAAAGACCAGAACCTGTGCTGAGCCTTTCAGTTACAGTTGCTTTTTTCTTTTTTTTAAACAACCCACACATACCCAAAAGGGTTAAAACACAACATGTATTCTCATGTAAAATTAGCCACAAATAATAGATCGTGAGTCACGACATTTTCCTTTTTATCATCCTCTCTCCTCCTACCAAAGCATGTTCTCCTGTTTTTAAACGGTGGCGCTGTTGGAGCTTGAGCTTGGTTGTAGTCAGATGTCTTCTTTTCTATAGTGTTAATCCTAGCCTCTGGATAGGCAAAGTCAATTTCCCATTTTCTGTCCCAAAATTGGCTATCACCAGTGGGATGTTTTGGATTGTGTTAGTTCCTGAGCTAATGTATATGTATACAGATACAGTGGTGTCAAAGGGGTAGTTGTGTCTGTAAAGGCCAGATTGGATATCAGAACAAGCTCATAGCCAGAAGGCCGTTTGTACCATCATCATAATGCATTTTAAAGTAGTAAGATGTTTGCTTATAAAAGTAAATAATAGGCAAAAACAACTAAAAAACAGCAAACCTAAGCAGAACTTGTTGAGGTTTCTACAAACTTTTAGTAATTTCATTAAGATTTACCATAATACTTATCTAAAACTGAGACCTACCTAAATTCATAAGTCTCCAAGAGCTAAAAACGTCCCGACTCTCGATATTTTTCTAAAGGACAGTATCAGCAATCATTTCTGCTGTCACTCTTGCCCTCACTCTTTATCTCCCGTTCAGTCTTTTTCACACACCCCCACCCCCGACTGTCTCTTTTTATCAGTCTCTCTCAAAGGTGTGCTCCCCTACTCCCTATGGCCGTCCCTCTAGGCGCGCTCTGTGCGCACACACATTCACAAAGTGCATTAGGGTTGCTGTCATTTACAATACAAGCCTATTGTCCCAGCCAAACAATAGCTACAAACAAACAATTGACATGGAAATGGAGAGATGTAGCTCATTAGCGGGCGCTGCTTGTTTTGTTATTGGATAAATGGGCGGCTTCAATAGGCCATCCCTAAAACCCCTGCCTCAATATGGAGACGCCTGATTAACAGGAAACCACAGGGAGGAAAATAGTGACAGAGAAATCCAGCTTCGCTCTCCCTTGGGTCATATGAGGAGGTTTTGTGGTGGGGAGGAAAAGTTTTGAGTGAGTTTCTGCATGTGCGTTGAGAATGAAGCTTATATCTATGTTGCAACCATTTTCAAAAGGAAAATTCACTTTTGAACATAAATATTGCTCTGCAGCCATAATTGGTCTTAAAATGATCAAAAAAGTTGTTTTTAGAACATATTGCTTTTTAAAATTAATTACATTATAATCCTTTTATCTTTTAGATTTCTTGTCAAAATTGCAATCTGCTTGTTCCTGGCTGTTTGTTTATGTCTCTCTGGTTACTTTAGGTAGCTAAATATGTGCTTGGTTGGGCCATCATCAGTTAAGTGCCCATCTTAACTGATGGGAGTGTGTTTTTCTGGAGTGTGTGTGCGTGCGTGCGTGCGTGCGTGCGTGCGTGCGTGTGTGCGTGCGTGCGCGTGTGTGTGTGTGTGTGTGTAGTGGCCTTTGCTATCAGTAGGATCATATTGAATCGACCTGAAAATGGCATTTCTGCCATTGCTCTGATGGTGACGGCTCAATACTGTATCTGTCTAGAGCCAAGATGAGGTGTGTTCCTGTCTATGTGCTCCTGACTCCATAATGCAGCAAGATGTCTTCGTGAATTTTGATAACAAAACTTTTTAAGTCTAATTTGGTGGAGTGGGAGAATCATATATAGATGACACCATATCATCTTTCAGCAGTCTGCATTAATTCAAAAGCCAAAATAATAAAGTATATCACGTTGAATAATACAGGAAAAACTTGTATGGTGATTACAAACAAGCATTTTTTTTTAAACGGAACATTTTCGATTTTGTCCCAAAATCGATTTTTATAAATAAAAAATAAAGCAAATCCAAAGGCTGTCAGCCTTCATTTTGTAACTACATGGGACATCCTGATGTCACCTCGCAGCTGCTTCTGGAACATATGAAAACGCAGAAGGCACCAAAACAAAGAGGAAACTACAAAACTGGAGGAAAGAGAGCTTCAGCTGACCCTGTCTTCATTGAATGCAAATATTTGGGCTCATTTTGGTTTTTACTGAAAGAGTCTGAGTTTGACATGAGCGACGTGTTTGAGGTTTGCAAAATGAAGATGAAACACTTTGGGAACACGACAAATGGGCTCACATTATCAGTTTTGAATGAAAAATTGATTTTGAATAGAATCGTGGCCCCAAAAATCAGAATCGAATCGTGAGAGAGTAAGATTCCCACCCCTAATATTTGTCATTTCTCTTTAAAAAACAGACAGTTAAAAGGACTGACATGTTTCAATATAAACATAAGCAAATAATGSAGAATACAAAATCTATCCAATTGTCATTGACTGATGTTTAGACAAACATCAGTCAAAGTTCCTACTTATCCTTAAAAAGTATGAAATTTGTTGTTAGGATTTTCCAACTTTGAATAAGTATGGGTGAAAAAATTATTAAAAAATGAGAAATCTTTTGCATTTTCAGACTGTTTTTCATATTATGTTATTTGAATTTGAAAATATTATGTTTCAAATTTGTTTTATTACAACTCAATTTACTCACAACACCATCATCACCTTATACTACATCTATATATGAATAAAAACACTTTAAAAGGCATTTTGTAAATACAGCTAAGTTTAAAATTAAATCCATGTTCAGTTGACCACTAAAAGACACTGTTTTGCTTTGACCTTTGGAGCAYAAGTTTTTGTTTCTTTATTATTTTATCTGCGGTTTAGGCTTTTACACAAGCTGCCCCTCAATAGTCCTTGATATTCTTTTGTTCTTGTGTGCAGGAGCGAGATGCAGAGCGGCGAAGACAACTGAGGGAAAGAGCCAGGCAGCTGATAGCCGAAGCCAGATGTGGAGTCAAGTTTATCGACATGAGCCTGGAGGATTCAAACAGCACTGCAAAAAACAGAGGCAGGATGCTTGTAACTGCAGGAGGTCCGGACACACCTCAAACATGCATTTATACATCCAAGTCCTCAGAAATAGAAGCAGTTTTTGCATGTATTCTGTTTCTTCACATTACCATTAAAACAAAAAAGTTTCATTAAAATGCTTCGCAAGGAGCACTAACAATTACTAATACTTAACACAAATGTCACAGTTGTATGCTTTCAACATAAACATTATTCATCCACACACACATACAAACTAACACTTTTCCATTATGTTCTCTAAAGGGGTTTGGCTAATCCTCAGAGAAAAACAAAATGTCATTTGACAACAGCCGCAGGTCGACAAAGTACCACCCTTATATTTCCAAGAAGCAGTTTATCCTGCAACTCTTCCTCTGCCACTTTCTCTCAGTAATTATTAATCATCACAACACATTGTGTGGCCAAATTACGTTCAAAATACCAAACACTTCTAATAACATCTTGCAGCGGTTTCAGATGCTGCCTGTATGCATTTCCCACTGCTTTCCATTTTCCTTGAAATTGGGGTTATTATCATAATGACCATTATTAGACCTCACAAGTCATTTGTTTCAGATTCCTCCACTTTACACCCTTTTAGTTATTTTGTTCTGGAGGATCAGGTGCACCGCATGCAAATGAAAGTGAGAGTGTTTGCACTTGAGGAAGACTTGAAAACAATGAAATGACTAACTGATCAGGAAATGGTGAAAATAGGACACTTGTTATAAAATTAGGCTAAATAATTAATGACTAGTTCCATGGATGTTTTGGAATAAGAAGATAATTAAATTCTATTTGAGATATAATTTTTAATGTTTCCATCAGTCAATTTTACAAAAAACGTCAGGACAATGATTAAACAGCTGGAGGTGACACACTGCTAATCATTTTTGTTTGTACGTCCTAATGTTTCATTTGATAAAGAACAGACAGGGAGCAGAAGAACATGTTTGGTTTTTGATTTGAAGAGACTTTAAATCTTCAAAACCAGGGATTCTCAAAACTTTTGGGACTGGGGACCCTTACAAAGGTGAAAAATTTCCAGGGACCCCCTCGTAAACCCCATGCTGTTAATGCTAAATAATTTACTGTTATTTTAACCCCTATGCCATGGGAATATTATTTTTTGTTTGGTTTAGTATGTTTGTTTCACTAGGGCGTTATTCCTCATGAGCATTTTTCAAAATCAAAACCAAATTAACAATTGAAATTTTTTGAAGACCCCCAAGACATAGCTCACAGATCCCTGGGCGTCCTGGGACCCCAGTTTGAGAACCTCTGTTCTAAACAACTGAGTTAATAATGCAGGCACAAATATTATAAGGCTGATTAGTTGAAATAATTGAAATAATTAATATTGCCCACTGCCTTGCATATCAAGGTTTTAAAACAAAATTGCATAATTTGTGCACTTAGCATATGTGTTGGGGATAGCTATCAGCTACTGCAACACTAAGTTTTAGCTCAGTGTTTGTAAAAGTAAAAGCAGCCTTCTTGAATTGGGTTGACGACAGAAATTAATCAATTGTAGATGCTGATCCAATGATTACTTATGGAGAGTGTCACTAAAATCTTTTGAGTAGTTTGTGAAATATTTTGYTAAGATATGTGTGCTAATGTGGATAAAGAAATATACAGGCTAATAAAATTTAATAAATCCTAATCAAAATGACAACACAATAGATAAATGCCAAGACAAAAGCTGATATAAACTGAGGATAGCACTTGATTTGTTTGCTCTTTCGGCTTTTCTGAATTGTTGGACTAATTGTTGATCTCATTAAAAATGGAGTCAGAAGAAAGAACAGAAGCAGTCAGGAGGAGGAGGAGGAGGAGAGGAACGCTGTGGGCTGTGATATACAAGGCCTGCCGAGCAGAACGGCTAATCCTAGCCCCCACTCTCTACATCGCTCTCTCCCCTCATCACCATTCACGGTCCTTTAAATGCAGCTCGGGCTGCCCCCTCCAAGTGTCTGCCCGCAAAGAAACTTTCCAAACTCCATCACCATGGCCTCCCATTAATTAGGCTTCAGCCAGCCACGCAGGAATGGCGCTTGCTAGCACGCTTCGCATCGCAGCTAGCAAATTAGAAAAGAAAAATCAGGAAATACTCTTATTTTGACTCCCTCTCCTTCGTTCTTTGTTCTAAGTCTCTCTCTCTCTCTCTCTCTACCAAGTAATAAATAGCAGAGGAGGGAGCCCGAAATGTCTGACACTGTTTACTGATTGTTTTGTTTTAATCCATGGTGGGTTGTCCATGCAGCTCGAGCTGTTCATGTCTCCTTTGAGTTTCTTATAACATGCTTTTTTGTTTTGTTCTTAATGTGGAGACACTATTGTTCCCGTCGAACCCCTCAGGAGACCTAATGGAATATGTGCTTTCATGTTTTGAGGTTTTTTTTGTATGTCTTACCTCTTTTATCTGGAGCAAGAAAAGCAGGCAGCAGATTTTTGAATGTGGAGGAAATTAAACAGAGTTCTCATTTTCACTTTGTGGGCCATGTGTTTACGTGCTTCAACACACAAACCCACACAGAGTCCCCACTTGTGTCTCGGCTGGATTTTGCAGCCTATTCCTATATAATTTTTACATAATCATAAAAAAGTGCTTGGATGATGGATAAAGTGCTTCAGAATATTCAGATTAAAGAAAATAAATATTTTTATTTTTATGAAGAGGCCTTAAAAAGGCAAATCCGAGTGTGGTTGGACTGTAATTTTAAGTTTTATTAATGGGCTCCATGGTGGTGCAGTTCATTGGTAATTCTAAGTTGTCAATACGTGTGATTGGTCTCTGTGTCCCTGCAGTGGACTTGGGACCTGTCCAGGGTGTCCTCTACCTCTCTAACAGTGGCCACTAGAGAAAGGCACCAGCGTAATATATGGTGCCATGTATTTTACAATTTTTCATTTACTTTTGGTAGTTAATACCACAAAACATAATTTTGGCTCTTTAAAGTAAAATAATATCAAATTAGGTCCATATCTACAGTATATGATAGATGTGTACAGTATGCACTGTTTAAAAAAATATGATCGTAATGAGAATATTCTGGTCAATTTAAAATGATTTCTTCAAACTGCTTAAACTCCTACTGTTTTTCTTTTCAGAAATCTCAAAATTTCTTTAAACATAAAGATATACCATAATTATGTTAGGTCGTATTCAGACCTGATAATTTGCTCCGCTTTAAACGAACCAGAGTTCGTTTCCAGCGTTGGTCCGGACCTTTTGTGCAGGTGTGAATACACTCATGCGAACCCTGGTGCGGATCAAACAACCGGACCGAGACCCGCTTTTTGAGGTGGTCTCGGTCCGCTTCCAAACGAACTCTGGTGCGGTTCGCTTCAGTTTGCTTCTGGTGTGAATACAGACCAGACTCTAACCGAACCAACTGCATTAAACATGCACCTTTTTGGACTTCACAGGCCACCGTTGCTGAGCTAAATAAAATGAAATCATACC